TTGCCATGCGCTAGGCTTAATGTGCTAATGGGGCACCCCAAGGTTGGGTGAGATAGAGAATAAAGAAACGGGCATATGCTGGAATGTACAACTCAACCGAAGAGCAAAATTGCTCGAGTAAATTGCTCAAACAAATTAAGCTTCCGCATTTATCCGTATTTTCCCCGGCTATACAATTCTTCTGGGCGGTACATCATCAACAGCCACTTCTCTCCCAATTACTCAACGTAAAGTGAAGCCGTCTGGTTTCACAGCATTTTGCTAAGATGATGATAACCGCTTCTCCCTTTTCCTCCTCCTCTCCCAGACACTAGGTAACTTCACAAATTAATTACGGCATCATTGGGACTTTATGTTTATCTCAGTATACAGAGCGTTACAGCTTGCTGCTGCTCAAGACTCCTCTAACAGAATCCCAAGATTTACAAACCATACACAACACACATTTAAAAAAAAATAAAAATCCCAGGCATACAAAAGGCTGCACCATCCCCTAGAGTTCTGTGAACATCTCGCTCCTCATTAGCTACAATTGCAACGCAAAAACTAGAAAACATGAAATAAGATAAAAATATTCCTTTTGCTTGTATGTAAAGGGAGGAGATCGCGATACTTCAGATATGCCATGTGAGACAGACCTCACAGAGTAATTACTCGCCAGAGATAAATACCTCAATTTCATAATACTTCAGTTCAAAATATACGCAACTAAGAATTTTAGGTCTAAATAATTTAACGTAGCTACTCTTGCATCTGGCTGGCAGAGTGTATCCATCCCATCACAAACCAAGACGTTAACCTTCTTTCACTGAAGTGAAATGGAGCAGCCTTATCAGAACAGTCCCTGGGACCTCTGCAGCCAAAGGTGGAGCTCAAAGACGCAGCACAGAAGCACAAACTTGGAATGTCTTCTGGACCTACCAAGTGAATGATTTCCCCCCCCGCCCCCGAAAAAGCAATTTACTACCATAGATGTGCTGGTATACAGATGTTTTCTTCTGCTGTGAAGCAGCCCAAAGGGTACAATCTCCATCCTACCGGCTTCTATAAAATAGTTGATAAAAAATTAGAAAGTCTTCCAGAGCTGGAAGGTCGTGCACCTACCAGTGTAACAGTCTTAGGGGCCTCTTGCCAGGAAAGGTGCAAATCTCCACTAAATAACGGCAGCTGAGAGATTCCAAAAATTCATAGAATTGGACTTAACATTCCATGGGAAGTGGAAATCCCAGTTAATGGTGTAAACGACCGACAACGACTGGCAAACAGAGGAGACAGACGCTAGGGCGCTCATTATAGCAGATTTCACCGCTTTCTCGACAACCTTGTACCCAACATGGGACACGCTGCCCACTGTGCACCAGTGGAAGAACTCCTGCCTTCTGGCTGTTTCTATATTCAAAGAGGCTTTTTGAATATACAGTTTGGGATTATTTATATGTTCTCACACATTTTTGAAAATACGAGCAATCAGAAAGCAAGAATAATTCACTGGTTTTGCCGTATCTAGCTCTGCAATTCTTAGCATTCCTTAATTAAGAAAACAGTGTATCAAAAGGTAGGGGAAAAATAGGAAGTCAAACAACTATAAAATCCCTTCTTTTTAGAACAGGAAAAACATTTAGATTCAGCAAGTTCTCACTAGAAATATTGCTATAAAGTATTGATTTTTTACCAGACTCAATTGACTGAAAAGTTGTTTGTATAGCAATATTGGCCAAGCCAATATACTGGAACAATTTTGCTACACACAGTAATCAAGTGTATTTCTAAAGTATAATTATACTGTCATAAAAATAAAGCTAAGATACCTCTTCTCCAAGCAATAAAGCAGTTGCAGCTGTAAAGAACCCAAATAAATGAAATACATTTTCTAACTAAACATAGCGTCTTCCAAAGAGAACAAAACCACCTCCCCTCTCCCCCCTTAAGCCAAGGTTAGCATGAAAAGTGATCAATACTTCAATCTCAATAAACTATTTCAATAGTAGTTAATTCACGTGGAAAGAGAGGCTGAAAATTTTTGCTCAGCGACCTGCGACACGCTATCTTGTTTGCCAAATGCTGATAATATATCATTGCCATAATGGATATGACTTAGTATAAAGAGCTAGAAAGAAAGAAAGAAAGATACCACATAGACACGCTCGTTCTTTAGATTCGGATCAATATTACACACAGCCTCTTCTGAAAGAAGCCAACAGCGTGGAATGCTGGAAGAGGAAAACAGCCAAACGTTTGCAATTAATTTTATTTGACAAATGTTCATTGATTTACTGGAATAAAATATATGTGGGCTGCTATCCACGGCTAGTGCAATCCAGCCACCTGTAAGTATTCCATTTTGCAATTTCTTATTGGCTTGCATAACGCAGATGCTCCTTTGGCGAGGGAGAACAGCCTTCCCTTTATGAAGGGATTGTTCCAAGGCAGAAAGTTCCGCGTGCTTTGGACAAAGCACATCAGCACGGCATGGTCACTGCCAACTCCTCACAACAACAGCAACCAGCAGCTCCCCAGGGGTGAATGAGTGCATTGATACAACTCTTCAATCCAACGCGCCAAGAAACAAATTCAGGAAGATCCGAGAGGACTGCATAGCTTAGAAGCCAGTCTGGGGAGAAAACTGTATTTTGTATTTATATTCTGCCACCGTTTGCATTGCAAAGAATGTCAAACTTCAGGAACATGTGAAACATCCCCACGTAAAAACAGGGCACATTCCCTGGAGCGGTGCAGAATAGTGACACCTGCACTAGAGAAAATACCATGAAGTCACTGCAACTGCTAATTTAAAATATGAATGCAGTAAGAAGGAAAAAGAAAGGCAGAAATATTTCCCTGATACAGAAGAGGGCTCATGTTTTTACAGGTAATTTTTTTTCACTTTCCCAAACTGCAGGCAAGTGCAACACTCAACCACTTAACGAAGCGGTTGACACCATCAGCCCGCACAACGCAGCAAATCAACGTAGAAGTGCTAGAAGTATTAGGCATTCCCTCCCGTGCTATTATCCTCTGCGCCTTGAGTGTTCACATCTCCTTCATCACTCCTGCAGACTCTTACTAAAGCAGCAGTCACCACACGAGAAAAACATTTTTGTAAAAATATTCAACAAAAAGCAGGCATGTACCTATGCTACCCTTCAGAAACACAAAAAGTAGTCAAAAGGTGCAAGTTTGGCTTTACATAGCATTTTATCCAAATTTCCCATGGAATTTCATGAAATGTGAAATACATGCTACACATGTGGCATTATAGGAGAACACCACATTCTGCACCTGAAGGCACTGTCTCATTGTACGGACCACGCACACACAGCACACGCTGAACAGAGCTGTTCCATGTGAGCAGGGCAGGCACACATTGACCAAGAGACATTAAGTTTGGTGGATCCTCAGTGCAAAAGGATTAGCAAAGCACATGTTGACTTGCCTTGGTTTATGTCCCTTAGACTTTGGCCGTTGGCCACCATAAGGCACAGGACGAAGAGGAGAGACTTTTGGTACGACCTGGCATGGCCACCTTAGGCAGCTCATGATTTTGCATTGCTAGCTCCTTGTTTCAGCTCCTTCTCTAAAGACGATGACCCCAAATTGGGTGTCCTGGTTTAGTTGCCAGCCGGGGTTAAACCACAACATCGGGTAACAGTGACACACGCAGATTCCCTCACTTTGTGGGATATTCCTTCTCCCTAACTGTGCCTCAAGTGCCTTCCACTGGGATCAGAGCACGTGGCCCTTCTTTGCCATGCTTCTCCCACCTACATCCACGCCCGGAGCCTCACGGGGAAGGGAAGCAACCTCCTCTAAATCGGAAAACACCAAGAAGTCACTGGCTGAGCTGTAAAGTTCAACGCCCTCTCTTCTCAAACCTTTCTTATTATAAAGTAAGAAAAGAACACCGTTTCTGCAAGTTCCTTGGTCTAGGAATATCCTTCTACAAGAGAACATCAATGAGGTTTCTGAACTACACTCCACCCCCAAGGCTAACCTCATTTCTGAAGAGTCCATTCAAAGACCAGATTTGTCCCTTGAAGGTTTTGCAAGTCCATTTTCATTAAACCTGCGAGGAGACCGAAGCTAGTCGTTTTGCAATGTTGGCAGCCAATTAGAAACTAAACTAAATGCACCGTAGCTTTTAAAACATTTTTAAAAAAATTGTTAATATCAAAGTTAAAATGTCTAAGGTATAAACAAAATCATAATGGGATGCTGGGTTACTGTATATGGTAAATAGCTCTCCGGAGGAAACCTTTATTACTCCCTCAGGGCTTTCTTACAAAGTATGGATTTCTTAATTCCTAGTGGAATATTTTTCATACACCACTGCAGACTATTAAGTACCAGATATTACATTATGTAGTTTAAACTTTGCACTATGCATGAGAAAGACTTTCCTGTCGAGAAAACTATATCTCTGCTATTATCATCTTTACAATATTAAAATTAATACTGGCTGCAGGGTATAAGCTTCACTACCAAAATTTGGGGGAGTTTATCATTTAATATATTCATCAGCCTGTGCGTGAAGCTGCTCATAAGGGAGGGAAGTCACCGGTATTTACTAATTTTGAATTGCTAGAGAAAGGCAGAGCAATGGTGTCATCTCATCCCACTGGTGTCAGTCTCGGTACTGGGCCAGCAAAGGGCGTGGTGAGCCAGCAAGAATAATGGCACTGCACATACCGAAGGCAATTCATTATGCTTCAGGACATTTCAAGTTCCACTTGTGAACCATTAACTTGTTACCCAGGAGGGATTCAAAGCTAAGTATTAAAAAGATAATAAAAATGCACCAGCCCTCACGGCACCCAAAAGCAGATACCTTGTAAATATGTAAAGAGAATTCTTAAAAAGTTTATATTAAGAATTTCTTTCATCCTCTTTTCTGCATAGGAGCAATGGCCCACCTATATCTCGCTACAAATATGAAGGGGGGAAAAAAAAAAAGCACTGTTAAATTTTATTTTCAAAAATTTTAAGTGAAATTCAACACTCACTTGTAGACTGTGCCTCCATTGCCATGACCGAGGATGTCTCGATACCGTATGTCTTGTTCATTCATCTCCACAAGAAAGAAAGAAAAACAAAAGAGATGTCATGCTGTGGATGGAAATGTCAAGGAAAAGCAACTCTAGGCCATAAACAACAAGCAGTCTGGGTCATTTCAAGTTCAGCTGCAAGAACGAGAAGATCAATACAACATTTGCTGTCCAATTTATAAAAGACGATACCAAGGGACAAAGTGATGGAAAGTTTAATGACAATTTGTTTGCCTGGGTCATTTCATTAAAGTTTGATAAAAGGTGTCAAAATGGAATGATATAATATAGCTCAAGAGGGTCAGGTCACAGATACTGATAGGAAAAGGGTCTCCAGAACAGCACATAACCAAAGCCAAAGTTGGAGGTGAATGGAAACAATCCAACAGAAAACTGTCATCTTAAGTACGGCTGGCAAAGTTTATGATTTATTCTGGAATCAGCATAATTGATACTAATTGAGTGACAGGTCTGTCAGCAGGATTCCTTCCTAGTGCTTCATTTATATACCTTTTAACTAAAGCAAATATTCGGGGGGAAAAAAAAATAGTCTTGAATTGCTATCCAATAAAAATAATTTTCCTTGAAATACGCAAGTAATTGCTTGCCTCGATCTTCCTGCTCACTCGGACAACCCTCCAGACATGACGATATCCTCAAATATTTGAGCAGAAGCCCGATACAAGCACTGTACATTGCAAATGCTGGAATTTGGGACCTTTCTGATAGGGATTTTTGGAAAAGCTTATTATACATCACCTTGCTGGATGAACAATTCAAATGTAAACCTACAGTTCAACCTCCTCCCGTACAAATACAGTTATCCTGATCTCCCACCTAAACTACCCATTTAAAAAAAAAAAGTCACTACAGACATTTTTGGAATGCACATCATACTTGAAACTAAATTTTTTAAGGAGAGTAAATTCCGGGCTGCATGCATTTGCTATTCCAAAAAGATCTCCATCGCCTGATCACTGTAAGAAAGAAATGTCTGGGCAAATCCCTTTTTTAAAAGATATTTTCCCAGGAATTTGTTACCAAACCATTAACTTGTTTCTATGAACTATATTTGCTGGGACAGCAAGTTAAACATTTTACATGAGTCGGCATGGCTGCTTAAAGACTTTCTGTCATTGTTATCTGTTAAAAGGCATCAAAAAAACCCCTAACGATGTGTCTGGTCTGCTGTCACCGATGTGATTAGAGATCACGTAAGCACATCTGAGGTAGCTTCAAATTAGCTGTTTTGAGTACCATGGCAGGAGCCACAGAGACCTCGCCGTAAGCCAACTGCCTGGATTTATCCAGCTTCTGAAACAGCTTTTAAAATGCCGCCGGGCCACGCGCCCTTCGGTTACGAAGTCACGTTTGAGCATCCCCTGTCGTATGACGTCAGTGAAGAGAAGAGGAACTTTGCCCTTGACTTCAACTGGACCAAGTACGTGACGGTAACAAGCTGAAAGGCCCAAAAGAGTCAATATTCAGCATGTCTTACCAACAGAAAATGGAATATTTAATTGATTTAAAATGATATGTTTTAAGGACAGAAGTTACGAACTCAAAACCATGTGTCCTTCCCTTTCGCTACCTGAATAACAAGCCTGCTTGTTTCTCGAAGGAAATACTTTTCCTCTATGCATTAATTCCAGTGAGGTTAAAAACCTCTGAGTTCTGAGAAAATTCAAAGTACCTCAAAGCAGAAGCTGACCCTACGTTTTTACCCATCTGTAGTTAAACCCGGGCCAGATATCTTAAGAGGGTACAAAATGGCCCTTTCAAGTATCAAGGTTTATGATGAAAATGAAAATTTATTTTATTCCTGAAAGCTATCTTCCCTCTGCATCAATCAGAAAAGGCAAATAAAGCGGGGGAAAAAAAAAGTCACCTGATAAGGAACAAGAAGTCATGAATGGGTTTCGAAATATGTAAAGAATCTGCACTGGATCCCTTGCTCTAAACACAATTTCACTCAGAACTCATTCATTTAAAGCACAGACTGCGTTTAAGGAGTTCTGCTCTCCTAAAGCTGGAGGACTTTAATTCTCCAGTCTTTGAGGTAAGAACAAACATCTCTTTTCCTATATTCCCCGCCACGTTCTTAAAAACAAAACTCCTAAGAGAAATCAAATGAACCCACAGAGCTACGAACACACTTGTATCTTTGCTTCTTGGGGGGAGGAAAAAAAAAAAAAAAAAGATGTTTTTTTTTTTTTTTTTTTTTTTTGTAGTTACACAACTTATAAGCAACAAATTGAGCAGAACCAGAGACATAAAATGTGTTCTCTTTTCTCCTGCTTTTTGCTAACTGGTAAAAGGAGAGTATTTTCTGCAGGCCGGTCCCTAAAAGCCGGCGCCGGGAGCAGCGCCGTACGGCGATGCTGCGCCACACGCACCCGCTGCCAGCCCAGCACCGTTTCTCGTCCCCAGGCACAAAGAGCAACCAGAAACCCAGGGTGAAATCAGAAGACTGGGGTGGAGCGAGTATCTGCCAGCAACCGATGGAGAGATAAAGTGTGATTTACTGGCTCAAATAAAGATGCCAAAAACCTGTGGTGATTTATTTATTTTACTGGGAAATCTGGATTCTCAATCATAAAATGATAACATAATAACAATGAACTCGACAGCATGGACTGGAATATTAAACCTGCAAACCCAAGTTTGATTGGATGCCAATATTAACAGAATTAATGAAAAAGCAAAAGAGACTTCAATTACGGATCAGCAAACAAAACATCCCTTGCTTATACCTGCTGGTTTTGAGAGAAATCAGTGTCTATCTCTTGTAAATCATTAAAACCAAAATGCTCAATTAATCCTTATTTTGCACGTGGGGGCCTGGCAGAGGCGAAGTCCCGCAGCCGTACCTTTGCTTTACGAATCGAAGCAATAATGGTTTCAGAAAGCAGTCACACTCTATGAGCAGACAATTGAAGAGATTTAGTAAATCCCACTTTATAGAGCCGAGACTAATCGGAAAACACAAGCCAGTCAAATGTTTCTTATGAACTGTTGACACTATATCAATGCTGAATCAATTGGTGGCATTTACTCTGAGTGACAGAAAAGAAATAAATATTTATATCACATCACCTATATCAATGAACCTAGGCAGAAAGCTATTTCTAACCTGTCAATATTTGATTATCTTGAAGAATCATGTCCCCTTCTTTTAATGATTAATATGAATTCCTTATTAAACCTAAATGGAAACTACTAGAGGAATATCATTACGAATGCCTGAAAGCATAAACTGCCAAAAAATAATAAAAAATAACAACCCAACCCATATTTAAGTAATGATAAGTGCGACTTAAATCCCCCAAAAGGAGGAAAAGTTGAAGTTACAATTAGAAACCTATTTCCAGTTACGGATCTGTGACCAAATTTTGCAGACCACAGCACAGCCTAACAAAAAGGATTTCTTCTCGGCAGAAAGAAGCACAACTCCTGCTGGAGCAGTGTGACGAAAAGGAAGCATTAAAACTTAACATTTAATACTACTTAGTATTTAAACTTTTTTATTTTCTCTCTCTTTTTTTTTTTTTAATGGGTTTAACATTTTTTAATATCACAGTAAGAGTTTTGGTTCTTTTATATCTTTCTAAAATTCTACAACACAGGAAAGAAATCTGTAACAATCTATTGCAGAGCACACAAAATAAATCCATTGCAAAATACTGACTTCTATTACTTAGAACAAATAAAATGCCAAATAGAGCCTAAGGACTCAATGACAAAAAGATGGCCTTTACTCACATTCAGTAATTCTACCTTAAAAAAAAAAAAAGTAATACTGGAGTAATTATCAACTTCATTTTAAAAGTTCAGAAGCACGCTGCTGGTACTTTGCTAATTTTAAGGTAACCAGAGAAAGATATCGTGTAGCTACTGTTCTGAGACATTAACACATCTACCCGGTAGGAAGCTGTGAATATTAAACTATGTCTGCACGTAAGGAACGCTGACAAGCTTAAAAAATACATTTCCAAGCTGTATTCAAAGGGTTTGGTGCCAAACAGGCAAGGCTGCAATCCTGGGCCGGTCGACTCGCATTTGCGAGGGGCACTCTCATCTATTAGACCACAACGTTACAGGTGATACTGAAGGACAAGCGTGAAGACCTGCCTTTATCTTCTTGACACGCTCAACTACAACTACTTGATTCATGAAATGCCAATGAGGCTTGGAGAGGTCATTGTGTGAAGGCACTGAATACGCATCTGAGATAATTAAGATTTCAGCCTTCGAAACATGGAGGGGAAGTGAACAGCAGTTAAGAAAATCAATAAGAGTCTTTTATTTGCGGTGACACAGATGTCTCAGTCAATAGGGCCTAATAGGCAAGCTTGATCGCAACGGACAGGTGCCTGCCTCCAAGGCTATCAAAGGGCTTTCACCATGACAAACATTAAAACATATTTATGTTGGCTGCTGAAGAATCCGGGATTCTTTTAAGGTAGTTTAATTTAACGCTGTATATTTAATGCCATTATGCTACTGCAAACCTTGCCCATACGTTCAGCTCAAAACAGGTAAGAAATTATTTCTCCCTTTGTCCAGGACATCCACTTGGCCATCAATTGTTACGTTAAACCTTTCGCTTCTGGATGCCAGAATCCGAATGCCTGGAGCGGGAAGAGAAAGTAGCAAGACAGCGTTCTACAACTTTGGGTTTGGTTGGTTTTTTTTTTTTGTTTTTTTTTTTAATTTGGTTTGTTTCGGTTTTTTAAGAAACTACAACATAAGGTGATTCCAGATATTACAAAGCAGTTCTTCGCAAGAACCTACTAAATATGTAAGTGTCTACCGCCCTAAAAAATACGAAGGTCGTTCTAACTGAGCGGTTGACTTAGTTATTCAAAATTGATTAACTTTCTTCCCTGAAATTGTAGCAGCAGCGCAACACGTGTGAGGTACTTCAATCTATCTGGAGCTAAATCTGATTAGCACATTTTGAGAAATGGGAAGCAAATTGCTATGCCAATCAAAGTAAATCAGGACACATAACTCATTCATATCGTGAAGGTTTTCATGGTCCCTCCAGTTCTGTATTAAAAGAACACATTACAGCTAAATGAGCAGTAAGCATCTCTCCACCTATTTGTGGTATGCCAATCACTGTGGCACTGGGCAGTAACGAGATGCGCGCGTGGCCAAGACTCAATTCTGTCCACCTACCTGGCCATTTGCAAGTATTTTCTTCAGCTCCGCAGAAGACTTCTTTAAGCTGAAAAAGTAAGAGGCAATTATTTTTAATGACTGTGCCATTTCACTCTCTGAAATGAAGTAAAACCGTAAGAAACAACGAGCCATCGGCTTACGTTTGCGGTGACATATTCTGAATGGATTTAACTTTAGCAATGCTGACCGATGTTCAGTGTAGCTACGCCTCAGACTGCAGGCAGCAGAAATGGAGAAGCAATGAACGGTTACGAAAAGCAATATATTTTTCACCTTTACAAACTAGTATTTTCAGATACCTGACTATGCTACCCTTGGAGATACAACCTACTGTTTGTCAGCTCAAAGAAGAAAAAAAAAAAGATACCCACACACACCAAGTGTTGCAAAAACCAATGGGAAAATAAGGTTTGCGTCTAGTTTTTAGGTGCCTTATCTTGCTTGAAAACCCCGTAAGGTGTTACCCCTCAATAATTTCTATAAACCTGCAGCAGAAGGGAGCGCCACCGATGGTGCTTCACTACCTCAACTGACCGCAGACCGGAGCGCGGTGAGCACGACTCCTGATTTAGGTCTCAATTAAGAGGGGCGAGTCCGGATTGCCATGTGCATCCATTCCAGGTCAACTTGCTGCTGCAGCTCCTGGGCTTTTTCAGGAGAAACTACTCCTGTGTCAGTAGGCTTACATCAGGCAAAGTGACCCGTATAATATTTTTTTCTAGGAAGAGAACTTTAACAAACCACAACTATCAGCTTGGTGGGTTGTGTAGGTAAAACTAGTAATGGCTTCAAACTACTTCCCCCCACTTGCAAAATACAGCTTCACCTCCCTTCCTGACAACCTCTGTTCTTTGCACGTTCAACACAACAAACTGCCTGGGTAGAAGTATGTCTGCAAAACTTAATCTCAAAGAGACATTCTGCACTTACTGCTGAAGTTAAAAAAAAAGAAAGTACAAAATAATATATTCTTGAAAGGCATGTGCACGTGTCTTGATCACAGATCATTATTAACAAGAACAGTGAAAACACAGATTTCATATTTGGTGGCTTTGTTCTTTAATAGGCCTCTTGTTCCCACGACTACTTTAAAGAAAAATTAAGTTTTCCAAGGAAACATAAGCTGATCTTGTCATCTTTCATGACTAACAATTTGTGAACATGAAACAAAGAGAGACTTTCAATTACTTCAAAAACAAAACTCATAGTGCAGAAGGTTTTGGAAAAGGAACGGCAATTAACCACCACATAAGGTGACAAGAACCTTCTAGAAGCTTCATTTTCAATGCACTTTAAGAACAAGCTCAAAGTACAGGATGTACTGAAAGCCAAAGCACAACAGAGACAGAAAGCAGCTTTATTTAGTTCAGCGGTATGATAAACTGGGAGGAGGACTGCAGTTCATAAAGACATTCAGATTTATTTTCTTTAAAGAGTCTTGGATGGGATCTTCGCCATTGCAATGCACAGCAAATCTTCCCCAAGGGAAGGAGTAAACTTTGCCAGAGGAGACCGACACCGGGTATTGGCTTGCTTTTTTTATCTCTACTATTAGCAAAGCCACTAAAGGCAGCATCAAAACTGGTTTTAGTGGTACTGGAACGGGGCTCCCCACTGCAATGCCAACCACTTGGGTGGCATCCTCTTCGTCAACAGGTAACCGCGTCACCCCCGCCATGCCAAGACGAGGTTCATGGGACAGTCCCACCGCTTCACGGTGTCTGCCAGATCGCGCACCGATGCTACACCGACCGAAGATGCTTAACGCAATACGATTGCGCCTTTGATCGTGTCCGTCTCTGTCAATTTTTATTTTTTTCAAAATGCTCTCCAAGAGGAGAGGGAGCGGCATGCTGATGCATGGATAAATGTAATATTATATGCTTATTAGAATAACAGAATAATTTAGCTTGAAAGGGACCTCCAGAGATTTCTATTCCCACGTTTCAAATACGCTCTTACATGAAGAGGATGGAGCCAGATTTTTCTTATTTCCTTTTAAGAATACACAAGGGTTTTTGTGGGCTTCTTGTTTGTTTTAACATCAGTATCGCGTAAAACACCCTCCTGTAACAGCTCGTGTAATAAAAGGGAGTTTATGCTCCAGTATTTAAAAACAGGTCTCTAGGAAAAAAGAAAAAGAGTTCTCTTGCACTTTAAGATCTCGGTATGGCTTTTGAAATCAGGATTGGAATCTAAAAAAGAAAGATAAGCGAGGTGGCGTCCAAATTTTTGCTGAAACCATACAAAACAGGGTACCTAAGCTGCCCAGATTTTCCAAAAATCTTGCTCCACAATAATAAACCTCCTGAAGTGGGTATCAAATTATAAAATCAAAAGAATCCTGGAATGAGATAAGCAACAAAGAGCTGAACATACAGACCTTGCCACAGACAGTGATTATTAGATCAACTAAACCAAATTAGCTCACCCATAAACAGTATTTCAATGCTTTATAAAGGACAAAGCCACCTAAAATAGCCAGCAAAGACTGAGTTCTTTCGGCAGAAAATAATTCTCCTGAAGAACCAGCAGTACGAGCCTAACAAGATCCATGAATCAAGGTAATTTCCTCTTCCCCACTTCACTCCTGCGTGGCCAGCAGTCGTATTGGAAAAGTTATTCCACATCAAGCTTACCGTTGGTAACTACTGCACGCAAGGTTCCATTTTGTTCTAATAAAAGAAAAGAAAACAAAACATACGCTCCGGTTCTTGACTCTTACCTATTGCTTGGAAGGGAATCCGAGACCGCCGAACTGCTATTATTAGCAGACCCCGCTCGCGTATTTACCTGCAGGCAGGGAAGGAATCTTTATCAGTCGTTTGTGTTCAGAGGACACTATTCTAATTAACCTGTAATTTGCCATGAATTTCTCATTTCACGAGGAAGGTTAATTAGCTTGTTGCTAGGCATGCCGATGGTTGAGGTCTCGCCTGTATGTAGGTTAGCAGGCTATATAATTCATGGACTACAATATGCTACCTTTACATCTTAAACGCTTAAATAATACAAAAAAAAAAAAAAAGAAGGTCTGTCCACCGTTTATTCTCATTTTAATAACTAAACGATCATTTAATACCTTTGTAGTCTTCTGCGTTTCAAAACGGGTGCGATTACAGAACCAATAAGCCATACCTGAACGAATCAAACAACCTAAAGGAATTTCATTGCAGTGCCTTCCACACTTCGATAAATTACTGAAATCAAATGAATACGGTGGGGGTTTTGAAACTCTTTGAAGTAGTAGCAGGCGTTAGTTGATAAACTGAATATTAAAATTTAGGAACCTTATTAATAGAGGTTAAAAACAAAAAGAAAGGCAATTCCATTTTTAATAAAACTGTACGTATCGACATTGTGGCCAACACCCAGCAGATGAATCCTTCTCCCACCCTCACCAAAAAAAAAAAAAATTTAAAAAAAAAATCTGCTTGTCAGAGCTGAAGAAAGTGCAGTTTTATTTGACATTTCAATAAGTGGAACACAGCATTACAAATCCATCTAACTTTACTGAAACAATTATTGAAATTCGTACCTTCAGGCCATGTATGTTCCGTTTCCCAGGAGGCTTGCAGGCTGAAACAGTAATTGACTAAATTGTAGAACACATCAGGGCCATTTACAAATTTGCTCAAAATGAATCTTTTAAAAAGAAATGAGGGTGACACCAAAATTAGCAGAGAGAAATGATTGAAAAGTGCCTCGCAAGACCCAGAGTGGGAATTACGAACCAGGATTTTTAACTTGCAGGAGTGAGCATTTATAAATGCTAAGAGCTTTCTGACACCATGTAATATAAATTCTAATTTCTGCTTAAAACACATCAAAATCAAGAGAACCGTTGGCTTAAATGATCAGACTCTTTTTGTAATTCAAATTAAAATCAATATCTTATGTCGCTATGTTTTCACACGCTCTATTTTTTTCCGGCATCTAACAGAAATATTTGCAAGATGTATTTTAAAGGAACTGGCTGCCACACAGCACGAATTAGTCACTGTCAGCCGCAGACAGTTTGTTTTAAGTGTGGAAAAAACACGTCAGGGGCAACAGCAGTGAGTCTCGAGAAATCAAATACCGGGCAAAGGCAATACAAACTGCCACGTTTTGGACACGGGTGTACAAATGCACCCTGTTCTGATGTCTGGGTTTGCAGAGGGACGTGCTGCTTCGGGAGAAAGTATTTTCCTAAAGTCCCTCGAACTATACATGGCCTCGTTCTTCCCTTCGGTGGATGTGCTTTTGTCAAACGTTACAGCCACAAAGGCTTCTGGCTACATGTTACAGACAGTTCCCATTTTAAAACTACAGTGCCCTACAAATTGTATGTTAAAGGGCCTGTCGCTTTTGATTGATTGTCTGAGGGGGGATGGATTTGATTTTTCTCTTTTCACTGATGCACATGCATTTCACTTCCATTTCTGACAGCAGGAAACAGAACTATTTATTAGTCAGAAGGACACAGATGATAGTTATTAAACACATCAGTTAGGGCCAGGCCACGTGCCTTTAAATTACATTAGAATGTGCATCTTAAAGAAGAAAAATATTATGACACCGTTGACATGTATAGAAAACCCAGACAACAAGGAACTGTTCTAAAATACACATAAGCATATCATATTTTTTTTGATGGATTAAAATCAACATTTTGAACAAGATATTAAAAAGATATTATCATATATATATGATAGATATTTGAATGGTAGATTCACCTGGCACTCCCCAGATTGGAGATATATATATTGAAAAAAATAGGAGATATATATGTGTGTGCGTGTGTACGTACACACTCTCTTGCTTATGTACATGCACAGACAGTTTTATTTTCAATATAAAAAGAGAACTCTGGCTCTTACTACCTAGAGAGCAAAAATGCATTTTTTTTTTTAAATAGAAAAAAATACCATTTTTTTTTCCCCTTAAAGACCTTTAAATTACAAGTGAATAGAGCAGAGCCAAGGTAACGCGGGATGGCACACAGACATTTACTACTGGTAGGCTTTATGGAAGACGAGGAGTTTTCAGAAGCTGACTGGAGACGACAACTGGGAGGCTTCCTCGGGAGCAAGAGAGGCAGAAAGGGAAAAGGACAGAAAGGAAGATTGAGCTTGCAAAGGAAGCTCTTAAAAAGGGAGAACCTTAAATAAAGGGAGAACCTTAAATAAAGGGAGAACCTTAAATAAAGGGAGAACCTTAAATAAAGGGAGAACCTTAAATTAAAGGCAGAAAAGCTGCACATTACTGATGGGGCTTTAAACTGCAGAATATAAAGAGACATGGCCAAAAGGGCATGAAAGAAAAGCGCTTCTGCTAACAAGATTTGGGATGTTCATTAGGGAGGTAGGACTGGAACTTTAAATGTCAGAAGATAGGAAAAAAAAACCAAACGCAAACCCCAGGAAAGTGCATTTTGTTTGATATTGCAGAAAAGCAGCAGCAGAACTTGGAGGCAGCCTGGGGACGAAGGGAGAGCAGGGTAGCTTTAAAGCTGTAACCCTGGCAGAACAGATGTTTTAAGCAGGTGATTTGGAAAGATGAAACAGCAACTCAGCTCTGAAGCAACTCAGAGCAAGGGCTGAGCCACCTACAAGGGAACGCCTGGCAGACACGCATGCGGTTGAACCAGCGGTGAAAATGCAGAGATAATTCCTGGGGATCATATCCTCAGCAGCATGGAGAGGAATTTGGAATCTGTACGGTTAAAGAAGATTATCCTTGGATGTAAAGGAAATGGAAGATGGAGAAAGCAGCAGAAGCAGGAGTCTACTTGGCTGGTTCTTCAAGAATGACTCAAGAGGAGAGTCTAAAAGAAGGTCAAGCCTGATTTGTAACCTCAAAATGTCCTTTTAAACACTCGGGCATGCCAGCTGCTGAGCACCTCCTACCACAACTTCCTCAGACCATTTGCTTAAGGGGAGATGTATCTAACTGCCCTGTATTTCCAAGAAGGGTTTCCCACCTACAAGGATCGTCCACTGTATCAGCTTCTCCAAGCCACCTGGGAGCCTGGCATTTTATTTCTCGCCAGGGGTGGTCGGTGGTTTTAGACAGAACGTATGGCAGTAATGGAATGGCTACAGGAGGAGGTTTGGGAGGAAGGCTGAGACCCTCGCTCTCAGCCTGGGAAGAGGCCAGGGCAGAAGGCAGCTTCCCCCTTCACAGCCGTCCCTGCGCTCGTCTCACGAGAACACATCTTGGCTGCTCCGCAGTCCTGCAGCTCGAATATCTGCGAGTCCCCCCCTCTCCATCAGATCCTGCTAGCCTGAGCCATAAAAAAAAAAAAAAAAAAAAAAAAAAAAAAATCTCCCAATTCCCCTTGAATTCCTTTTCCATAGGAGCGTACTAAACTACCAGGAAAGCCAGCCTTCTTTTGAGACCTGATTAGCATGTGTTTGAGAAGCCTGTTGGTTAATTGCCCAATTCAAACTTCAGAGAGTTGTAAGTAATGGAAGTCTAGAATGTTTAATTGGGAAACTCATGGTATGATTATTTGTATAATATCAGTTAAGTGAGAAGAGTTTAAGTTTTAATTATTTCAATTAATTTATTGCTGGGAGATTTACTTGGAGAATTTAAACCTTATCTGTTTCATCAATTAAGAATCAGAGATTCAAAGACTGGATGGCGAGAGCATCTGAATGAATCAGCAGAATTATGTAATGTATCGGTCTTTTTTTTTTTTTTAACCATTATTGGAGTTCAGCACAAGCGGCGCATTCCCAAAAACCTAACCAGCTGCCTACGGATTTTTGTTCAGGATGCAGATGACCTATTTTTTTCATTGCCTCAGCCCACATAACTGATTACAACTTTCCCTGGTCAGGAGAACTGTTAACGTACTAGCGATCATGTTGATACCACTCAGTGCCCAAATCTCAAATAAAATACATCATGCACAGAGCTTCTGTGACAGACGTGTTCCCATTTTCAGAACGAACAACGGCAGTTGCATTCCCCACGTCTGTTGGACTGATTCACGATATTAAAAGATCTCAACAAACCCCAATTTTCCTAAGTATCCAGAACTTAAGTTATTCATCTGCTTTGAAGACACGCAGAACCATCACCAATGAGGTTTTTTTAAATGTACAGAAATATGTACTATGCAAACTGAATCTTGTTAGTCTAATTTACTCCAGTAAATTAGCTATTTTATATGCAATAAATGTAGTTTTCACTACACTCCCCACAATAATGAATTCTTCCATCCAAATTAAGAGGTAAACATCATGTTATGTGCATTTAAACCACCCGAAAACATAACTGTTGATGAAACAGTTTACTGATATCATCATTGTTGATTAGAATTTGTTAAGCATTACCTCTTGGATATATCTGTAGAGGCTCTATTAACTGTCCATTTACTTGCTGTTCCATTACAGTGGAGTAATACTGCAAAGAGATTAAAGAAAGAGAATACTCAGTAACGTACGAATAGTAGTAAGAGCACTTATGGATTGTTTAATTCAATGTATTTTTTTTTTCCCCCCCTTAATTGCCATAGTACATATCAGCCTTTAGAACGCTTTCTTACCATTTGCAATGTTCACGCCATAAAGGGGCAACGGAGGAACATAAGCAAGGGGCTGTGACGCCCAGCACAGTCCCAGCTCCAGCCCAGGGATCTCGTACGGGCTCAGCTAAGCAAGTTTGGAGCCCACCTGAAACCTGGGAACGCTTCGGCAGAGCGAGCGAACGAAACGTTTACGGCAAACACAGCAGTCGCCACGCCTGGAGAAGCCAGGAGAACCAGTCAAATGTGGGAACAACGGAACGCTATAAATACAGTAAAAAACCCGCGCGATTAGGGAAACTCCCAAGGGAGAAAAGGATCTGGAAACCATCTGGAAGTTTGCAGCGATGAAAAGCACAGTCAGGGCAGTTGGGGCCACAGCCCACGTTAGCAGAGATGTCGCGCACCCCCTCCGTGTGCAACTTCAGTGCACGGTAGGGTCTGCAAAACGGCATTATAGAAAGCCACCGCAGCCAGACCGAGACCTTGGGCTCCACAGGGACTGCTCGGTGATCTGCGGAGGGAAGTTTAGTGCTAAAGAAAGGCTAAGAAGGGACAAAAAGGGATGCAAAAGTACCCGAGAACATCAAGACCCAGGAAGACAGAAAATATCTGACGTGGTACGAGGAAGCCTGAGAAGTGGCCCGAGGATGAAGGGTGGCATTAACCAAAGACAGCAGCATTTGGATTAAATAAAATCAAAAACTTTATTAGCCTTTCATAATTGACCCCCACTCCTGCGGAGGGGCGAGCGCTCACCAGACAGGACATTTAACATTACCACCAGAGAATCCCAGGGCAGGAGACAGCCCTTGCTACGCGTTTGCTGCCTACAACCCACCATCTCTCATCACGACGTGTTAAATGTTGAAAGCACATCACAAAGCGCGTTTCTTCTGCCATCGCCGAGCATCTTTGAAGCGCACGCGCTGGCTGTTGGCCAGATCTTCATGGCATAAATCAGTGGAGCTCCGCGGACTTTCATGCTAATTCTCACCAACCGAGTGTGGTCTAAGACTTCAGCATGTCACTGTTGCCGGCGGTTTGTGATACTATTACTCAAACTGGCAAGAATGGATGTCGACAAGAAAAAAAAAAAAATCCTAAGCCTCTATGGAATCAAACACCTGTATTTCACTCACACCAACCGTTTCCCATAACACGCACTTTTTACTTATGCAACTTAAAGACAAAAGTTAATAAACTACCTAACGTTACATGCATTTTTTACTTATGCAACTTAAAAAAGACAAAAGTTAATAAACTACCTAACGTTACAAAACATTTTTCTTTCTTCTCCCAGTGGGATTAAATGTGGACTATAGTAAGCAAACGTCAGATGGACACCGAAGCCAATTGATGGGCAGAAGTTTTTCGCTGCTTCTGTTTTTTTCACATTCACGTCGAGAAACAGGAAGACATTTCCTTTTTGTGAAGAAACTGCTAGGAAGAAAACGGCCGGGGGTTTAAGGATCCGTCCAGCCCCACCGCCTGTGCGTACATCTCATACGATGCCTGCTGCTGAAAGCACTTCCCTCCTGAAAATCTCGCCACAAGGTTTCTGAGCGGGGCACCTCATTGATACTGGTGCACAACCGCATAAATCCACAGATTACCCAGAGCAAAGCTATTCCTTACAAAAGCCCGCTCCTTTGAAACGACCAAGAGGTTTTTCAGGAGCCAGGGCTGCCCCACAGACTTCTTTTGAATCAGGGGGCTCATGAATAACATGCCAAATCCTCCCCCCCACGTCCCCATATCCCTTCATAAAGATGTGTCACCAGTACCTAATACCCATGGAGTGTGAAAGAGTCTCCCGCTCCACCAGGGGCCAAAATGGCTTAAGAAAACCAAACTTTTTTATTAGCGTGTTACTAGTGGCATTCTATGACCTGAAGACATATATACACACAGTATAAACATACTTTACATACTCTCTAGAATAATAAACTAAAATAAACATACATGAGACTGTTTCCTACAAAAAAAAAAAAAAAAAAGAGGGGGAGAGAGAAAGGGAGGAAAAAAACCCATGGCCCTCTCCATTACTCAAACAGTGATGACAAGTAAATGAAATATCAATCATGTAAGCTGTCAACCTTTTGGGACAGCAATAACTGTTAACAAGTAGTCTGGAAAAATTGTCTGAAAATGACTTGTCCTCCACACATGAGCATTGGAGGTTTCCATGGAAAATTAAGATGCCAGTGGCTATTTGGAACATTGTTCAGGTATTCTTTTTAATGGAAAATTTGCCAGTTATTGATCCAGAGCATGTACCCCTTGCTTTCAGAAAGCTGCAAGCAACTTTCCAATCAGTGGCTGTCAAAAAAATTACTGCCTTTTTATACTGATACAAGACAACAGCTAAAGTGCAACTCCACTGCTACTCAACATCTGTCTTTAATTAACCTCAATGCGCAACAGAAAAGTAATTTTATTTATCATTTCCCAATAGCTGCACAGGCATAACATGGAGTATTTCTGCATACTCCCAAATAATTCCAGAATTGCCTGGAATAACTGTCAAGTTCAGAACCCAAAGAACCTAAAGATAAGAGGTCGTGTGTGCTACAAAACATCTTCCCCAGTGATAGTGTCCTACCTGCACGGAAGAGATCTGTATTCTCCAGGAATTATTTTTTTGTTCTTAAATAGAAAGAAAACCCCTCACTTTCAGTTTTGAGAATACTAGCAGAACTGGAGGCAAACTGCACCACGTCCAAATTCCTAGAAATATTTTAGCAGCTGTGCAATCCTCCAAATATTTGTCACAGGCCTCAAAATACTCAAAAATTAGTATTTTTCTTCCCCGGTATATTCTTCAAGGTTACAGTAGATTCATTCCTTTTCTTGTAGGCTAAGAACATTTGTTTTCTTATAAGCATATCCCAAAATGACACCTATAGGATGTTAGGAAGTTAAACCATCAATGCAACGCTCAAACAGAAAACTAGTTTAAAACCGAAGGGAAAATTTTCAGAGAAGAACAGCTGCTGAAGCGGAAAGAAGTCGTTTACAGACCTCCCATAATTTTTATGGGAAAGCGGAGAGTTGAGCAATCATAACTCTAATGTACTGAAACTTTAACAGTAAGCTTGGAAGCATAGCAAAAAGATGACCTTACAAAGGCATGATTAATCTTAAGACTGCACCAGGAAAATGCAAGTTTTCCAGTTTAACAGCAGAAGTGGCAGACATTTTATAAGGGAAAAAAAATAAGTATTGAGAAACACAAGGAATTGCAGTGGGGAAGCACCACCAGTGACCTAGTTGTACGAAACAAAAAACCCTCAAACAAGCACAAAACCCGCTCGACTGCAGCAAGATTTTTCTCCCTTTCACACAACTGTCTTGCGCTCTTTAATATCCAACCTGTAATACCATGGTTTCACCTCCTCTGGAAAGAAAACGGCACGCGAGAGGGGCTTATTTAATAAATCCCCAGAGATCAATCACCAGCACCTTGAACCCACACTTCTTTCACCCCAGGATTAACTCATCGGCAATGACTAAAGTTGCTTTGAACCAGGGTCTGCCAACAGACTTCCAAGATGATGAACGTCCACCCCAGCCTTCAAAAGAGCGCTGGGGTGCAGGAACAGTACAACCTCTGCCAATACAGAGAAGGATCAGAATTTCTCTGAGGAAGCCTTCCTGGAGCCCGGAAAGCACGAGCCCCCTTCATAGGAAACATGGATCGTTTGACATATTTATGCGCCAAAGACTAGAGAAGACGTGTCCAAGAGGGATCCGCCGAGACTCAGGCCAGATGCAGGCGACCCAAGCAAGCCCCTGCTCTTCTTCCTCTGCAGCGGGGGTCTGATGAGGAAGACTAAACAGAACCAAGTCATTAAGCCCCACCAAAACCACCTGTGAGCGGTACTAAACAGGGCTTGTTTCTGATACATTCCAAGGTAAGGCCATTAATACAGCGAGAATTGCACTTCATAAGGAACCGGCATTCCATCGGGTTTAGAGAGAAAACACCCTTTTGTTATTTTCTTGCTTATCAATTTCATTTGAAAGGAAATGTTAAATTTAAATGATTATTTTTCACTTACATCTGCAACATGAAAGATAAAATAATTTGAATATAGCTTCAGTGTGTTTCAATAAGTAACTGCATACTTTGTCAGACAGATTTTATATTTATAGGTACCTACACAGAGATTTTGCACACATCCATGTATATGAAGGCGCACACAGACACACATATATCTTATATTAAAAAACAGAAAATACGTCTTTAAATCCTCTATGAATATTGAGCCTGCAGCTACAATGAAACTCTTCTGTTAGGAGGGGTGAAACAGTCTCCAGATGAAAGTAGATTTTGAAAAATTTTTAGAGCCCAGGGGTTCATTTTTAATGAGCCGTTACTTTAAGTACTGCATAAAAAATACAAGAAATTGATAGTCCATTTAGCCTGCACTATACCTAATGCAAAAGTCATTAAGATGCATTATTCTTAATGTTTATGATATGATCAGGAAGTGTACAAGCTTTTTTTTTTTTTTTAAAAAGTCAAGCATGTCCATGTATCTCATGCAGTACAGTTTTTAAACACCTACACTTAATACAGGAATATTACACTGTGAACTTCATACAGGAATATTGAGCTGTGAACACTGCAGCTTACATTAACACTTTGATACCAGCAAAAATACACAACCAGAAACTGAAAAACATGGAAAAGATCAGCATTTGTTATACTATACCTACATAGGATAGCATGGCTTTCATTTCTTCATCGCTTCTAACGGTAATCCGATCACCGTCCTCATCTTCATCTAACAAAGAAATGCATGACACTCATGAACAACGGAATATTTACAATTTTAATATGCAAGGGGTTTACTGCGACTTCTAGAAGCAAATAGAAATACTAAGAGCGTAGAAGCCAACTACACAGGCAACCAGGTGCTCTGAAATAATAACATACAGCAACTCCAAACACTAATTAACAAAGACTACATTTACATCTAAAGAGGGGGCATGAACAAGGTGCTCCAAACTTTGCTCTCAACCGTTCTTTCACTGCCAGAACTCCCCAGGAGCCTTACACGTGCTGCGATACCCCTCGCCGAAACCCAGCAGGGTGTTCCTGTGACACAGCGAACGGAAAGCAAAGTTTCTGAGTGTGCTTTGATCCTCCCAGATGGAGTTAAGTTTTGGCAGTTTCTTTCATTAGAAGTTAATTACTACAATTAAAAAAAAACCAAACAACAAAAAACCAAAAAAACCCTCAAAAAAGCCCCAAAACCCAAACCATGTAATGGTTTCCCTCCCACTAAACCCCTCTGGTCTTACTGCCAACCCTACCCCAACTCACCTGCCCCACCTCAGGTTCCTCCCGCCCCTCTGCCCCATGCCCGTTACAAAAGCACGGGCACCTCTGCTCCTTCAGCAACGCTGACTTAAAAAAACCTGTCATTTGCAAGTGGACACAAATCCACAAGGGATTTAGACGAAGCCAGAAGTTTGTGAGCAAGCAAAAGCCAGTCTGTGGTTTTGCTCACAGTGCAACTGTGGGCGAAGAGGAGGCAGGAGCAGCGTCACCAGGCAAGCACGGTTTCGTGATGACGGCTCGGGCACGGCCACAAAGGCACAGAGAAGGCACTTCTGGCATAGGGGCTGCAGTGGAAACAGAACCAGAGGAAAGGGAGCAAGATTCCAAAAGGCTCCGGCAGCGCAAAGCATTCAGAAAGAATGATTAATATGAAGATTTGAAGGAGGAATAGACTTTCCGAAGACATATGGCGGGATTCAGCAGGTGCAGATGTACCAGGGGGCTCAAGCCCCCCCATTAGCACCAGCTGGTGCAACAACCCGCTCCGATGTCCCCAGCCGCGGTTGCCGAGACACCCCGCGCGGTTCCTCCGCTCCGATGGGAGCAGCGTCCACCCCGTCCTCCCATCCCACCCCGCCCCTCGTGAAAAGATCCTACGCCTTCACCGGTGGGAGAGCCGCACCAGTGCCAGGCGAAGGGAACAGCCCCCTCCCCAGCAGTTCCAAAATGTTGATCTCTTTTTATTGCTCCAGCTTTGGGGGGGAAGGGAGGGGTTAGTGATCTACCTCCAATTTTTGCCTGCTGCCGTTTAAGTATCTTCCTTAGGTACTTACTAGAACAAACAAACCAACCAAAAAACCCCAAACAAACCAAAAACCCTCCCACGAAGCACACCGGTGTATCCCCCAGTTTTACATTTGGGTTTTCCTTTTGGAAAGGGAGCTCTTTGAAAATAAGACAAGACCAGAAATGCCCAACTGATACCAAAGAACACCTGACAAATTCACACACCTTTTTGGCCAGAAAACATCTGTTGTGGGGAATCTCAAACACGCAGGCCCGCTTGAGTTGGGATATTTAAAAGGCCTGGGACGCCCCCCCGAAAGCTGATGGGGCGCAGTGCGTCAGGACGCGTCCACACGCACAAGGATGCAGAAGAGGCAGGAATGATCCTGCCCATGCCCCAGGCTGCAAGCAAGCTGGTCAGAAAGCCGTACGGTTACAGCAGAAAAAGAGAGCTTTGCCCGAGCTAAGGTGCACCGGGAGATCCAGGAGCAGCACACGCACCGAACACCCATTAAATACCAAAGGGTGAGGACATGGAGAGGAGCAAGTGCATTTATACAGCTCCAGGACCAGAGCAGGTTTGCTCCTGACCAGTTCAGGATGCAAGCACAGGCTGGGGTGGGTGGTCTGTCTGTCTGTCTCCATCCCTACGAGGTGCTCTGACTGATGCACGTGCTCTCTGCAATCACAGCCCCCACGTATTACATCAACATTAAAAATTGCCATTATGTCCCCAGATGAAAAGTGACTCTTGCTCCTAGTTAGGCACAAGAATCCGGGAAAAGCTCCCAGTCAACAAATTAAAAGTACCCAGGAAAAGGAGTTTGTTCATTTTGCCTCCGAGAACCTTGCAGGTAATTCTGAGGCTGTAACAGAAAAAAAGCAAAACAACGCAGAAGGAAGTACAAAACAAGGAGAGAGAAATAATAAGGAAAACAAAAAGTAACATAAAAACCTTAGAATTACCCTTTAAAAACATACCAGGAGAGCGCTATGGGACACTGGAAGAGGAACGAGCTATAACACAGCGATGTCCTACAAAAGCCTTGTCTCGTGGAAATTTAACTGGTGAACTGCCAGTGTGCTGAAGCTACGTGCTACAGCTACCAGCCTGCAGCGAGTCATGAATGATGAAAAGATTAAGAAGAGTTAGCGAGTTGAAACGGAATGCTTCCTTGCCTGGGAACATCTTAGGCAGAAACGAGGAGGAGTTGTAAAACCGCTACCTGGCCGAAACCCAAGCCCCAGTCGCAGCGTGCAACGGAGTAAGGAAGGCTGAAGAAGCGGCTGTTGGAACAGCAAATGCAACGAACGCCATGCATCAACGGGATGGGATGAGAGTAAAATGCAGAAGAGGGGAAACATATGACAGAGATGAATATACGGAGGGCAAAGCTGTTAAACAAGCCTGGCTTGAAGGAACAAACTGAGCTGGGACCACCAAAACCAAACCAACCGACCAAACAAAAAACCTGGAGAACTCTTGGAGCCTACTCGCAAAGTGTTTATTTTAAAAAAAAAAAAAGTAAAAAAAAAAATTAATTCTCACTCTGGAATAATGTGTGATTTAAGAATTAACGCTGAAGTTCTCAGAACTGCAAAATTCCTGAGGGTACAAAAAGAATAAGTCAAAAATATGTTGATGAAAAGGCAGAAAACGCTACCTAGCATTTAAAAAGCCCTATGTCAAATAGCCAGGCAGTGCATGTAAAGAGCAAAACCAGAAATAAAACCCAAATTATTTCTCATATCTGTGCAGACATCCTTTGCCATCCTATCCCAGCATTTAAGTGGGCCCAACCCAAAAACTACCTAGAGAGGACACATGGGTGCAGAAAGATTTCCAGGCTTCTCTACTTGCCTGGAGCACAGCAATATGATTTTCCAGCACATTAGGGAAGCAAAAGTAGAACCAAAAAAAAAAACCTCCTACGTACTGGCTGGATTTTGCTAATGTCACTTAAAATGGAGGAAGAAATCCTTGCAAGATACCAAATACAGTGCAGCAGATGGCAAACAAATATCACGAAGCAATCTTCGCAAAATCTGCAGCGTGTCACAAATATACAAAATGGCAGAGTTTGGATAAAAGGATCATAACAGGCCATATGTTGTTAGGGATTTTCTTTGTAGCGCTGTGGAATGCAGTGCTGAAATCCACATAAAGGTCCAACAGTAGGAGAAGCGCAGCCGCAGGTAGGAGCCGTGCCGCATGGCACGCCGTAGATAACAATAACTAAACAAACAGGAGAGCAGCCCGCGCCGGATGGCAATTATCCACAGCCGAAGAAGCAATGAGGCAGGTGAGAACGAAGCTTAAGCCAGTAAAATTTGATTCCGTTCGATATGGAAAAAGTAACCAGAAAAAACCAAGCATCAATATCCATAACATATTTTAGATGCCAGTTAAATGGCAGGGGAAATGGGTTTGTGCAGATGTAAATGACAGACTAGAGACATGAACTGAAAGCACAGAAGCAGATGTTAGAAGACACAACGAAATAAGTATTTCCAGGAAAAGTTCTACACATGGTACCATTAATATGGGCTACTGCCCTGATTGCAGCGACTGCTACTGGTGCATGAAGTTCAAACAAAGCTAATGTGTGATGTGGGAGGTATGTAAAAAAATATGAACAAATCATAAAGAAAAAAATAAAAAGTGGCAAGGTCTGGAGCCTGGTGTTGCTCAAGTCTCTTTAAAAAGTCTTGTTTTAAAAAGCAGGGCAGGAGAAATGTTGAGGCAACAGAGAAATAACACTTGTGACCTCCATTCTTCGGTTCCTGGTATTTTAGGAGAGGAAAACACAAACATATGAAAAGAAAAAAGGAAAGCACTAAATAGCGCTTGAAGGACCATAAAACAATGTCTCCTTCGATTATCTACATAGAATTATCCATAAAGCTCTAAAAAGGGGAGAAATGCTAATAAGAACACAAGGCCCTATCTCGTCCTGTCTGCTCTCTCACCTTCAGCATCGCTACCTCGCTCGTGTAATGCTTCTAAGCCCCTCCAGGCTCCTTCTTGCTATTTGGTCTCTACCAAAGGAAAACACAGAGTTACACAGAAAAAAAAAATAGAAAAAAAACATTAAAAGGGAATAGCAGGAGGCCTCTCCATTTGGACGAGAGCTCTAGCTGGGTATCTTATCCCCTTCGACGCAGATGTTTGAGTCCCCTTTGGAGCTTATCGCTCTCCAGGCAGGACAATCCCCCAGGAAACCCTCCAAAAATATAAGCGAACGGGGTTCAAAGAATAGAGATGAAACAGATATTAGCAGATCTAGCCCTAAGCCTGCACTAACAATCACCGAGAGCTTTCCTAACTCAGCAAAAGCACGAGACACCCATCCTCACATGGTGCAAGCACCATTACGGACAGCCCCAACCCACCGCTCTCTCTGATCCGACACAGACGCCGTTTTTCCCAACTTCTCCACCAGACCCACAGGGCCTTTTATTACTTTGATTAAGTTTTTACTGCTCCCCAAGCCTAACCAGGTGCCTTTTTCCTGCAGCTCTCGTACCTCCTCCAGGAGCTAAAGCCAAGTACCGACACCTCCCACCCCTGCACAGAAGCCAGAGAAGATGTGCATTGAGCTGGAGCCCAGCAGAAGGAAAAAAGGAAAACTAAAACCACCGCAGTCCTGGCCAAAACCAGACATTTGCTCCAGCAAAAGGAAACGTGAACTTCTAACGCTGCTGTATTTGGTACAAAATCTGTGCGCTGTACCGAACTTTTCTAAAAGCCACTGCTCTTTTGGTTTCTTCCAATGGAGGATTAAAAGTCTAAAGTTAGACCTACAGGTACTTTATACTCTTCATTTAATTCAAGCAATATAATTGCAGTGAGGAGTAAGAGCATGGTAAGGTCATGCTGGTAATTAAAGCTATATTGTAGAAATATGCTCATTCGAGATGTGATTAAATAATAAAATATTGCTTAGTTCTGTACCATCATTAAACTTGCATTAACGCATAAATATTTAACTGTAACGTATAATGAACATAAACATTATTGATTTACAAAATGACAGCCGCAGAACGTGACAGAGATGACAGTTTATACAAGTCGTACTTACACTCAAATGCTGTTGTCGTTGCATCCGGCAAAACTTGACCGATGACGTCCTGAAACGTAAAGAAGAATTGGCTGTACATGAAACGGGAAACGCCTGAGATGGTTTAGAGTAAATCACCTTAATTGGTCCCCAGCTGCAGGCAGAAGACTTGAAGTCCTGCTACTCACCACGGCCCCCAAAATCACAAAGTCTTTAGTGCCCGCCCCAGATCAGTACCAATCACGGTGCTCTTCTCCTTCCTCTCCAAGCTACCTTGAGGAAAGCTGTTTGCTTTTTAAATAACTCAATCATCATTGCAAACAAGTCGGCGCTGTCCGTTCTTGCAATTTAAAGAATCGATTTTGTCTGTAGGTTATAAAAAAAATTTACATCTAACGCATCGAGGCAAGCTGTAAGAACAGAGGTTTATGAATGGCTTTTTACGTAAGCAAGCACATTTTCCCTCTCAGTCCTCGTGCTCACATCTCCCCGAGTCCGCCTCCCCGCCACCGAACAACTGCCCTGGTCCTCCCTCCACCTCCTGCCCTGCCCGCAGCTCGGGAATGAGAGGGTAACAAGCAGCTCGGGATGGGTTTAGGGCTGCCACCGTGAATTAAACCACTCTGAGACTGAAGGGGTTTTTGTTGTTTCACTGCACAAGTGCCCGGGAAAGCGGCGGGACCCAGGGGCTGCGGCGAGCTGCCTGCCGCTGCCTCCCAGGGCGGCGCGGGCCCCCACCATGCTCTCCACGCCCAGCGCGCCGGGCCCCGAGGGCCGGCGCGAGGCCGCCTGCCGCTGCCTCCCAGGGCGGCGCGGTCCCCCACCATGCTCTCCACGCCACGCGAGCCGGGGAGGTTGGGAGGCTCTTTGTCATTCTTTATTGGGATTTAAACTTCTTCGAAACTTGGGGGATGGACACAAATAGACCAAGTAGGGTTAAAACACCTGGAGGAGTGGAAGCACTAACCTGGAGGGCAGCCTCCAGCCTCGCCTTGTAACGAAGCCACGCACGTAACGAAGCCACGCCATCCCTTTCGTACGGGAGCTGCACGTACACAAGCCCATCACAAAACACACCCAACATTGCCAAGCGTTGCACATCTCCGATCCAAACCAGCATATTTTATTTTATTTTTTTTGGCCAATACAAACCTTTCCTCTACAACTAAACCGAGAGGGGAGCTTTGATTTATTTATTTATTTTTTAGCCTTTACATACAGCATTTACTCAAAATTCAGTGAAAAAAAATATCTGCTGGGGCTGGAGTCCTCCCGGGCTCCCAGTGCATGTGCTGCTGTCAGCCGTTGCGGGGCTGTAATAAGTCATGTCAGGGCACGGCGTAAATGCACAGCATGGTTTTTTTCCTTCCTGCTGCCTGATTTCTCGTGTCAGACAATCTCTCCGCTGACAGTGTCACGAAGTGATTAGAAATTAATGAACAACAATATTTATCGTAGCCTGTACACTGTGAGCCTCTCGGGGTGCTAAGCACCCCCCCCGTACCAAAGCTTTAGTGATCGCTGTCCCTGTCACTTTTGTTTTCTCTATTTTTTCATTTAGTCGAAAAGCAGGAAATTAAAAACATTCTGTGCGATGTTAGAGACACAATTAATGCAACAAGAAAGCAGCAAAAGCAGCCTCAAGATTTCCGCAGAGCTAACTGAAGCAAATATTTCTAAAACTTTCTCATGTTGTCTTTCCATTTTACTCGCTAAAATCAACGAATCATACCTCATTTAAACTATTAATTATATGCAAAAAGCCAGAAGGTGTGCAACACAGCTTACCTAACGATTCTAGCGATACAGACTGTAAATTTGTGGAGTCAAAAATGGAATAAAAAAAACCCCCAAAACAGCAGCGTATTAACAAAAATTTTTCCATTTAAATACCTCTACAGGGTTCAACAGCTCTGTCGGTCCTCCGTCAAAAACCAGCCGAGCTGCACCCTCCGTCCCTAACAGGAAATTAAAGCCTTGCCTAAACAGAAGTCTGTGCCGTTAACTAATTATTTCTAAATCCATTTAGTTAAACATTGAAAATTCCTCGGCAAACACGCTTTAATTGTCTTAGATTTAAGCCACTTGTAAAACGTTCTCATGTGGGCACGCAGATGCTTAAATCCATTAAATGGATTTGAAAATTGTTACCAGAAAAGGACCCCAATTCTGAGGTATTTACAAGCTGTATTTAAGAGGTGGGTGAGCATGGCACCGAGACAGGGACGCTTCTGGTGGCCCCAAACGTCTGCCAGGAAAACTCCAAGACTCCAAAGCTGCGATAGTGACGGTAAATTCTTTTACATTTTTATTTTCCTAATCAGAATAACTTTTCCTATACATTGGGACTTCTGTAAAATTAATAATAGCCAAGTACATGAATTTAAGAACTATACGCTGTAAGTCTGCCTTCTGGTAAATAGTGTAAATAGTGTAAATAGTGTAAATAGTGTAAATAGTGTAAATAGTGTAAATAGTGTAAATAGTGTAAATAGTGTAAATAGTGTAAATAGTGTAAATAGTGTAAATAAAAAGAAAACCCTACTAACAACCACGGAAACTTCACCCTGGTCAACTTCATGAACCTCATGAGGTTCAACAAGGCCAAGTGCAAGGTCCTGCCCCTGGGTCGGGGTAACCCCTGGTATCCATACAGGCTGGGGGAAGAAAGGATCGAGAGCAGCCCGGCCAAGAGGGACTGGGGGCTACAGATGGACGAAAAGCTGGACATGAGCCAGCCATGGGCACGGGCACCCCAGAAGGCCAACCCTACCCTGGGCTGCATCAGGAGAAGCGTGGCCAGCGTCGAGGGAGGGGATTCTGCCCCTCTGCTCTGCTCTGGGGAGACCTCCCCTGGAGCCCTGCGTCCAGCTCGGGAGCCCTCAGCACCAGGAGGACATGGACCTGTTGGAGCGGGGCCAGAGGAGGGCTACTAAAATGCTCCTTTCAAGTAAACCAGGGGAGGTTTAGACTGGATCTAAGGAAGAAATTCTTTAAAATAAGGGTGGTGAAACTCTGGCAGGGGTTGCCCAGAGAGGTGGTGGAGGCCCCATCCCTGGGAACATTCCAGGCCAGGTTGGACGGGGCTGTGAGCAACCTGATGTGGTTCAAGGTGTCCCTGCTCCTGCAGGGGGGTTGGGCTGGGTGACCTCTAGGGGTCCCTTCCAACCCAAAACATTCTATGATTCTATGAACTTTCAGGATTTCTATTAAATGAAGGCATCTGAGAAAAACTGGCCTTGCAGGGAGTGGGAGGGAGGGGAATCACAGCATTACCCCGGTGTCACTGTAGTATTTTCATCAGCTGTATGAGACTGCCATGCTCAAACCAGCAGCAGACCACTCCATGACCCAGGCTTAAGGGATTACTCTAAACGTCAACAGATTACGCCTCTTCTACTATCACAACAGAGATCACAAACAATAAAACACTACAACTTGTAGACGTTGTTCAAGTGGGCTCACACAGACGATAGCTTCTATTTTACCTTACAAAACCGAGAAGCCTCTGACAACGAAGAGAAAAATCGGGGAGCGGCAGCTGAAATAAGAATTCCGTCAAATCTGCGCTCTGGAAGAGCTGTGGAGCACTCATCGCGGGCGAGAACACAGAAAATGTGAAAGCTCTACCTTAACAACAGCACCAACACTGAAACCACGGCCCTCGCTCTGGTTTCAGTTAAAACTCGTTTTTTCTCAGCATGACATCATGAAGTTATCCTGAATTAACACCAAGTGCTTACTCTGGTGACAGCCAGGGCAAACGAACCTAGACAGCCTGATGACAAAAATAAGCTCATTGCAGTTCCTTTAGTGGTGCCTTTAAAATAAATCTGTTTACTGGTAACTTACAGGCCTGCAAAGCTGACATACACAGAATACATTTAAAGTGACATCATGAAGAACGGTTCTTAGCACCCGGTTTAGGAAAGTAACCAAGAAAATGCCTAACCTAGAGCGTACAAGCAGCGCCGCTTCCATGGGGCAAGCATCGTCCCGTTGAGTCAAGGCCAACCACCGGCACCAACCTGCGGGTATCAGGTTTTTTCAAGTTTGAATACCTGCTACACAGCTGAGTACCCAAAGGCTCCTCCAAGAGACACCATTAGAGCAGTTGAAAATGAAGAAATATCTCATTTAGCGTGCAAGGCATGGCACTGAGCATCAGGCTCCTGACTCCAACAGGTTGTTCTATGGCTACGGACAGGATATTTGGGGACTCTACACCGTAGCATCTTCTCTGAAAAAGGAAGATGGAAATCATCTTGCAAGCCAAGACATGCTGCAAGGCTACGCTCATTTGTATTCACAAGGCTGTTCACGCTTCTAGGATGCTAAATTAACAACAAATATGTTTTAAAAAAAAATAATCTTGCTCTTCACAGGGCATCATTTTAAGGGGCTTTCTTAATACAAAGCAGACCACGGGACCTACCTGAGAAGGAAGAACAGCCTTACTACACAGCTAATCCAAGGCTCCCCCCAAGCCCCCAGTTCCCATCAATCCAGAGATCCGGGGGTATGCACCCGGTTTTCGGATCTGGCTAGTGAATGTGCTTCTGCAGGTCAAGACAAGATGGTACTTCCCACCAAACCACCTGGACCGTAGGTTTGAGCCTGCTGTCCCCTGGACACCACCGCAGCGAGCGAGATCAGTGCTAAACGGGGCCAACTACAGGGATTATTTAGAGAAAAAAGGGGTCCCTTGAGTTCCTCTGTCCTCAATTTAGAGAGGCACGGACAATATGGGAAACAGCGAGGTCTGACTGGATTACAGCTATTCAGTCATTTACCTTTGCAGGGAATGTCTCAATTCTCCACGCTATCTTTAATTGATACTCTTAACATATAAACCCTCTGTAATTGCCTACCAGGCGAGTGGAAATCGCAGTGAAGGCAGAAGGACAAGAGAAGAGTGGGTCAGCCCCACTCCTGCCCTCCCCACCATGCTTGGGGCTCCCCCTCCCCAGCCAGATCCACCATGCTTTAACGTCCAGAGCCTTGCTTCATTTAATTCCTGTAGTTACCAGGTAAATTAAGTGCATGTGCATGCTGCAAGGGCACCTCCTGAAACACAGACAAATGAGGGCCTTGACATAGTTTGGACCTTATTAAGCTTCTTCCTTCTTAAGATTTCACTGTCCGCAAGAGAGGGTTTTTGACACGAGAACGACAATCGTCCAACAGTACCCCTGCACGGCTGTACGTCCAGCTGAACCCTGGCGTAACACCCATCATCCCCACATCCGACATTTCCACTGGCGGCGAGAAATGTGTCATCACCTACGGACTCACCATATGTAATCCAGCTCTTTGGCAGGACGGAGGTGCTGCTGTCTCTGCTACCCTCAATGCAACAGCCTAACCTTCAGTTATCTGCTGTTACCAACACCAACACAGACGTGACCTGACGCAGAGGTCTAGCCACTTTCACTCAGCAAAGAGCTGGGACTTTTCAACCCAAGAACCGTTCATATTCTTCTATCAAGCGGGTGGAAATAATTCAGCGTGCAGAAGGCTGGAGACAGACCTGCACCTACAGAGGAGATGGGTGAAGCGAGCCACAGGCGATGCGCGGCAGCCGCGCCTGCTCAGAACACGCCAACACAGCCATCCTGACCTGCACCACGCAGCACAGCAAGCGGCACGCGTGCCCACCTGCCTGCTGCAGTTCTCCATCGTGCTCTGCCGTCCTAAACCAAACCCTGAGTTAGGGCACCGCTCCCCTCTTCATCAGCTGTGCCTGGCTGGGGTAGAAGTGCCCACAGCTTGGGCAATGGACATGGCCAAACGTTTCGTGGATGCCTCAGTGTGAAGAGCTTCCTACACAAACACAACAGAAGTTTGGGGAGAACGTTGATGATCACTGAATGCGAGTGTAACAACAGAAACGGGGATTTTGCAAGAAAACCAGCAATGTACCCTCCTGTCGTGTTCCACCATCATCCCCTGATGGGAGAAGCTACCACCTGTGCCATGAAGTAGAAAGCTCAACCGGCTCATAACTGGAAAAATACATTTTTAAGAGTCCAGTAGATCTGCTAGATGGCTGTAAAGAAACAACCAAGATGAGCATCAAAATTGCGCGTGGAAGGGGAAGAAGCAGAAACCTCCTCTCTTCTCAGCGACTTCACTGGCGATGCAGAACCAGATGAGCGTTGCATCGGAGCCGCGCCAACAGCTGTGCTACTGCATTTCTGCTTATTTGAGATCTGGCTCCAAAAGAGACCCAGCTCTTAGCATCGTACCACAACTGAACACACAGCTTCGTTTTAACTTCAGGTCAGAGAGTCCCACGCCGGCCCCAGCCACAACTCCTAGAGGAGCTACACCAGAGACTGCAGGTGCAGAGCCTCACAGGTGAGACACCGTCCGACCACCGAGGTACAGCTGTGCTGCCCAAAATCCAGAGCTTTAGGCACAGGGTCCCCATACCCCACTGCCACCCCAAACAAAGACTCCTGGGGCACCCGTAGGGCCAGCACCCCTGCAGGGCCACAGGCTCAGAGTAAACCATAGCCACCGGTTCCTACTGCATAGGCAGTTTAAGCTTAAGCAGCTCTTTTTTAAAACCTACTTGTTAAAAGAGACTACGCAGGTCAAGTTTAAGGCCCAGGTACCCCCAGCTGCTTCTATGCTGAAGCAGCAAGGATGAAAACTAAAAAGCAAAATGGTTTTGCAAAGCCATGCCCTCAACCTGACAAAATTTCCCTATTTACTTTTAAGTAATACAGCCAAACTAGATTTTCCGATAGTTCCAAAATGCCAAATGATAGTCCAAGCATCAACGATTATCTCCCTTTTGGGGGGAAAAATGGGAAAACATGAAGCAGAACGTGGAGGAAACCTGGCTCAGATTTGCATCACTTGCCTTTGAAGGGTTGAGCATATCGTCCCAGGCTCCCACTGGAAACTCACTGCAATCTCCAAGGAAAACCACCCCTCCCAAAAACCTGACTGAGCTGTCAAAAGTTCTGCTCCCTCTCCTCCACCTGTAGAAAGTCCTGGATAATGCTAAATGTTAGGAAGAATGGAACCTGGAACATCCGCCATCCACTCCAATTTACCTCTACAACCTTCTATAGGCCCAACATGGAACATTCTCCAGCAAATCAACCCCGTGACCCCCGCCTGTCTTCTCAGTAAGATGGAGGAAACCTGCGGAATCTCTCTCCAATACTAATAACAACAGAAGAAATTAAATATGCACATGATCTGTGGTACAGGAAGATTTTTGCTTGGAGAAATAGGAGCACGCGGAGTCTGTAGCAGAGACATGTAGGGAAGGGAGGGCATCGTGAAGAACGCAAGTATGACCTGCACATGACGATTAGGCTTTTCTGTGGGCTAAGGATGCAGTTAAGAAGAAACTGTGAGCGGGATACGTATGCACTACCACTTCTGAGTAAACAGAGGATCCTGGCATACTCGATGGAGCACCTCCCCTACGAGGAAAGGCTGAGAGAGTTGGGCTTGTTCAGCCTGAAGAAGAGAAGGCTGAGAGGGGACCTCATCAACACATACAAATATCTTAAGGGTGGGCGTCACGAGGATGGAAGCAGTCTGTTTGCAGTGGTGCGCAGCGACAGGACAAGGGGCAACGGGTGCAAACTGAGACATAAGAGGTTTCAGTTGAATATGAGGAAAAACTTCTTTACTCTAAGGGTGACAGAGCACTGGAACAGGCTGCCCAGGGAGATTGTGGAGTCTCCTTCTCTGGAGATATTCAAGGCCCGCCTGGATGAAGTCCTGTGTAGAATGCTCTAGGAGAGCCTGCTCTAGCAGGGGGGTTGGACTGGGTGATCTCCCGAGGTCCCTTCCAACCCTTGCCATTCTGTGATTCTGTGAT